GATACAAAGTGGGGAATGCTCATCAGCCAACAGGTAGGCAAATGTCATGGGGATCTTCAAGTAAACGAATATATCCTTCCTTTATTCACTTCCTTTTAGGTTTTAGAACTAAACTTTGCTTACTTAAAAATCTTGCTTACCCAGGGTAACATGCAAGACAGGATTGCCAAAAAGCTTCATTAAACTTCTTTGCTAAGAATAATAAGTAATCAAACTCTTGATTTAAAAATTTGATCAGAAAAAATGACTCAACCTTTATAGGTCAAGTAAAGAAAATTGTTTCAGATCAGAAATTTTTTTTTTTTAATTTGACGATTCAAAAATTCTACATCTAATCCACTTGCATACCCATCAATATCGTCATTGTGTCAATTTTTTTCTTTGCGATAATTAGAGGTGACAAATAATTGGATTCGGATGTGATTATTTTAGTTTTATATTGGAATAATATTGAGTTCAAATCATTTTAGATTTTCGTCATTTTCAATATGAATCATTTTGAATTCGAATATTTGATTCTGATGAATTTTTTTAGCTCAGTTTCATTTTGAATCCTCTAACCATAACTATGCCAACTTCATTTGTTAAGTTACAGAGTCCTTGTTATAAAGCAAGGCGTCAACAAAAATAATGGACTGACTGATACTGCAAAAACTCAGAAGTTGAAGCCCAAACAAAATTTGGGTGTGGACTAAAACAAATGTATTAGGGTTTAAAAGATGGGCTATGCTAAAATCATTTGGACAAGTTACGGACAAAGAAATTTACTCAAACCTAACTCCACTTGCTTTGAGTAAGAGTTTATGGATCAACAACGAATGAATGTATGGTCCTGCATAAATCTTCTAAGAATGTGTAGTCCTGCAAACCTGCAAACATATCTGCATAAAAAAATTATAAAAAAAAACTTTAGCCTTCAAGTTCTAAACAATTTCTGTGTCATATGCATAACGTTGAAGGTATTTTTAGGTATAGAAGGTAAATTGATATTTTTTTTCATCAGAATCTATTAATAAATAATTAAATATATTTTTTATTTTTGAATCGATTTAATATATATAATATTATTTTGACTTGATTATATCATTTTTTTTTCTCATAAATCTTTCACTTTTCATTTATAATTAAAGTCATCGTGATACTATTTATTCAATCTAATATTTTTCTTACTTTCCTATTTTTTTTTTCTTTTTATCTCCTTTTTTTTATCTTTGATTTAAATGATAAAATGCAAATATAAAAAAATATCTTTTATTTTTGCTCCTAACCACTTTTTTTTTTTTAATAATTTTAAAATCTTAACCCTCGGTTTGAAGCTCGCCACCGACATATAATGCACCCAATACCGTCAGATAACTCACCACCAGACAGGCCGTAGGCCACCCACTCAACCAGAAACCCTGAACTACGAGAAGAAACCCATCAAACATTTTTACAATGTTGTCAGTAGCAGCCTACAACGACAGTAGCGGATCCAAAGCTTATGCTAGAGTGTTTATTGACATATAAAAATTAAAAAATAATAAATTTTGAAAAAAAATATAGTAATTTTAAAAAATTTTTATAAATATTTATTTTTTCTATAAGATTAAAAAATTTATTAATAGTTTTTTATTAAATAAATATTTAATTACATATATTAAAAATGATAAATTTAATATTATTAGCAATGATATAATTATTTTGTTATGTGAAAACTTGTAATACTATAATAACGTAAAAAATTATAAATCTTTATTTATAATTTTTTATATATTATAAATAAATACTCTTAAAAAAATTTAGATCCGGCGTAAAAAAGTGAATCCCACGAGCTCCATCCCCTTTTTTCAGGACACGTGGTCGTTCTGATGGTCACTGCAGATCCATGAAATACAACATATTCCAAAAATCACCCTAGGCAAAAGGGCCACCCATGGTTTTGTGATAGCTTTGGCTTAAACCAGTGGTAGCTGCAAACTCCATCAAGAGAAAAAGAGACTTTGAAAAAGATAAAATAAATTCAACTAAAATGCAATTAGTATTATGGATTTTGTGTACAGGTGAATAACGTGGCAAAAAGAATTTGCTATTTTTTTATTGTTTAAGTTTGAATCCATCAGTAATGGTTTTGGACGAAGAATTTTAAAAAATTAAAATTTAAACATTTTAAAATTTATTATTTCAAAATTTTAGCATTTGTAATTAGTATTTCTAATCATTTTGTTTGAATAAATATTTAAAAAAATCAATCTATTAAAATTTGATGAAATAAAAAAATAATGATATTAAACATAAAAATAAATATTCTATACGTCTATCATTATATTTATAAAAATATATAAATATTATTAAAATAACAAATAAAATGATATTTATTTTTTATTTTTGTATTTTATGATGGCCATGTGTACTAAAGAAGTAAAGGATTTGGAGTAATTTTGAAATATAACTATTTAAGTAAAATTTCAAAAAAGAATTTAAGATATTTAAATTTGCTTTTGAAATTTAACGTAAATTTTAAAATTCTCTCTTATTTTTACTTCATTCAAGTATCCCATTCAAATGCATCCGGAGAGATTTGTGAAATAATAATTTTTTAACAATCCACTAGATTCAGGAGAAAATAATGCAAAAGACAAGACTTAAAAATTTTCGTTTATAATAAAAGTTGCATTGTAATTCAATTTCAGTTGTTTTGTACCTATTTTCTAACCTAGTAATTAAGGACAATTGAATTTCTTAGTAACTAAAGATACAATATCAATTTTTTTGTCACATTTTATCCTTAAAAAATTAAGGAAACTAAAGTTATATTTGATATATAATATTATGACAAAATATAATAAAATAATATTAGAATAAGATTAAAATAAATAATGTCATCTTATCTTAAATTTGATATATATAAAGATTAGGATATGATAATTTATTTATTAGTTAAAATTATATTTTCTCAAAATTTATATAATTAAATTATTGATGTAATTTTTAATAGTATAATAGGATATACAAATTCAATTTTCATGAATTAACAATAATCCTTTTCACTTTGAAAGGATTAAATAATCATATACCAATAGGAAGATAATATTCTTTTAATAATATCTCTTTTTTTATATACAAATCAAATATAATATAAAATAATTATCATTTTATCTAATCTATCATATTTTATACACCTAACATAATATAAGGGTACAATACTTTATCAATTTTTTGTCACATTTTGTCTTTCAAAAATTAAAGACACAAAGTGGAATGTTCGAGCATTGCCGTTAGTTAGAATTTTTTATTTTACTATTTTTATTCATCATTTAAAAAAAATTACCAAATTTGAAAAAGAGAAACAAATAAAGTTAAAAAAATCCAAATGAAGATGAACGTGGATACCTAAATTAATTTTTTATTCTCACAAAATATAAATTATATAAAATAATTTTTATTTTTTAAATAATACCAAGCGTTAAACAAAAAAAAAATGATGAATACATTTATAAACATAAAATTTAATAAATAATAAAATATTATATATATATATATATATATATATTATAGGGTAGCTTAGCACAGAGGACTAAATTTGGTTTTTATTTGTCTTTGATTTTTATTAAAAAAATTGATTTGATATTAATTTTTTTACAAATATGCTCATATTGAATCGAGAATGATAGAAATTTATTAGATACTAATTGTTTTGGTATCTTTATTTATAATATTAATTTATTGTAAAAATAATTTAATTAAAAATAAATACAAAATACAAAAAAAAGATGCCATGTGAGTATCTCTATTAACATTATATTTTTACAAAAAAGATCTAATTAAAAAATAAATAAATAAAAAAAATAAAAAAACCAACTATTAGATCGAATTAGATTAAAACCTATTGAACATGAATTGTTTTGCCTACTTATCGATTTGTTTTTGGTAAAATTTATGTAATTATAAAAACAAAAAAAACTAAAAAATTAAATTAAGGTGTCGTATGAACACTTCGATAGAATTTTTTTTAAAATTTATTTAAACAAAAATTAAAAACTTGTAAAAAAATTAAAAAATTAAAAACTTAAAAAATATATAAAATGTCACGTTAACATATTGAATAAGAGTAAAATAATAATCAAAATTAGTAAAATTTATATAATAAATGGATTGACAGATAAATTGATTATATTTTAATTATATATAATTATAGTATTTTTATTAAATTAAGATATTAAATAATGACATTATTAATATAACACATATATAAACATAAAGTAAAATAAATAATTATCTAATTTAAAAGAAAAAATAACAAAAAAATAAAAGAATAGATTTTTAATTATTAGATCAAATGGGTCATACTTTAAGAAATTTAAAAATATTAATTAAATCAATAATAAAAAATATAAATAAAAAAAAGAATCAAATAACTTGACACGTGACATACTCTTGATATTAAGTGAGTCACCAAAAAATAAAATCTAAATAATTAATAATTAATATATAAAAAGAAATAAACAAAAATTAAAAGTAAAAAAAAAATGCAGCATAATCTTAGTTTCAAATTGATTCCACACACAAAAAGATTAAAATTAAAAAAAAAAGCCTCTTTTGTTGTAAAATTTATGTAATTAAAAAGTAAAAAATCAAATTAAGGTGCCACATGAATATTTCGATTGGATTTTTTCATAAATTTATTTAAATTAAAAAATAAAAATAAAAAGTAAAAAAGAAAGAAACATAAAATATCATGTTTACACTTTAAATGGGATGAAACAAAAATTAAAATAAATAGAATTTATATAATAAATAGATGGGTGTTAACTATTTATAAATATAATATTTTTATTCTTAAAAAGATAAAAAAGAAATTGATATAAATTAAGTCTCATTTTTAGAAAATAAAAGCTATAAAAAAAATTAAAAATAAGAAAAAAAATGAAAAAAAAAAAGTGTGCTGCTCAGCATCCCTCCATCAGGTACGGTTGACCAACACATTACCCAAATTTAATATATAGGTATAGGGAACAGAGCTGCAGAACCTAACCGACAGTAGCGGAAATCTAAGTAAAAAACCAGTGTCTCGGACGCTAGAATTCAAGTGAAACCATCAAACTCTAAATCCCCAACAACTGAGGGCTGAGGCACTGTCCCTTTCTCTCAACCACTCCAATCCATTATCCAGATTTGCCTTATAAATACCCTTGCAGTTCTTTCATTCTCTTCAATCAAAGCTTCAGGAACACACTTAATAGCAGTCTAAATTTTCTTCTGCATATCTTTGTCTTTAATTTGCTTCATTCATAAGGCCATTTGTTTTGTTGGAAATCATATTTTCTTTTACAATGGCTAAAAATGTTGCTCAATCTGCTAACTTGGCTTCACTTGACCAAAAGCTGGCCATGGCAAAGCGCTGCTCTCATGGTATGTTTCCATTTCCTTTTAGCTTTCTTCTTTATTCTTTTTGTACCATTTTCAGGCACAGCTTCAGTTGTGTCCTGGCTATGATTATTGGATATGGGAGTTTGAAGTTGAACATCTGACAGTCAAGAACTATGGATTGGTGATCATGATAGCTTGAGATTTGGTTTGATCAATCTCATAAAGTAATTAATGCTAAAATAATCAGATTTTCATATAACTTAAATGATAATCTGTTTCTTCTTTTGCACCAACAGAGGGCGTAGCTGCTGGAGCCAAGGCAGCCATTGTTGCTAGCATGGCCACTGCCATTCCAACTGTAAGTATATGAAAGACAGCTTCATTATTGTAGTAATAGATCCGTCATTTCTTAGGGACGATTAAATCTAACATTTCAATCCGTTGCGCTTGACGTGCATATGTAGCTGGCCAGTGTAAGGATGCTGCCTTGGGCAAGAACCAATCTTAATCACACAGCACAAGCTCTCATAATCTCCACAGGTTTTCATCATCATCATCCTCTTTTTACCAGTATATCAAGATCTTCTTTTTGTAATAATTTCCTTTTGCTAATTAAGTTTCGATTATATTATAGTGGCTGGAGCTGCTTATTTTATAGTTGCAGACAAGACCGTTTTGGCTACGGCACGGAAGAACTCCTTCAGGCATGTCTCTAACATGGAGGCATGAATTTGAGTTGATATGGCTTGCAATCCATAATCATTACTGTTCTCTTGGCTAAGAAAAGGGATATAAAGAAGGGGTGGGGGAGAGGGGAATTTGTATTCTAAGAAGCCATTTCTTCCGGTTGTTGTATAATCCATCGTCTATATATATAAAACATTAAGTGGGTTTTAATTTACAAGGTTCAGAGCTTTCTTCAGTAAGAAAATTGATTTCCATCTATCCAGTAAACCTGGACTGGATGTATTTACAAGTGATATTGACAAAATTTATAGACTTTGATTTGGATGTGCCCCTTAAATTCTTCCCAAATATAACTGCAAGTTGATAAGGTTTCACCAGTAATCGTTGCATGAGCAGAAACCATCTTTGAAATGGTGGAAGCGGTTTCTGTCTCTGGCAATAATTTCTCTGTTGAAGATCTTCGATATCTGCTTTGTAGCTGAATGGCAATTTCCACACACACGAAGATTCTTTACAATTCTAATTGTTGTCCCTGGCTTTACACTGATCAATCCAAAAGCAATTGCTAACTTCTCGCTATGATGACTCAAGGCCCCTTCCTTCCATTCCTCATCCATGTCCTGAAGCACCTCTGATGCATCACGCACAAATCTAGCCTTCTCCAAAAGCGTGCCAACAGAAACTCATGAACAACATCATTATTTGCAAAAGAGCTGCAACCAGGAACTTTCACCATTCCCTTGTTATTTAACAAGGTTCTTATTTGAGCTACATCATCCCATCTACCAGCTCATGCGTAGATATTTAACAAGGCACATATGCCCCAGGGTTTTCAGGCTACAACTCAAAACAGATGCTTGGCCACGGTTCACCTAACTCAACGCGTTTATGAACTCTACAAGCTCGAAGCAAAGAACCCCAGATTGCACCATCTGGCTTCATTCCAAATTCTGAATCAAAGCCTCTGCTTCATCAAACAATCCAGCTCGCCCCAGAAGATTTACTATGCATCTACAATGTTGCAAGTCAGGTGACATTGCATATTCTTGGACCATTTAACTAAAGTACATACGTCCAAGATCAAACAAACCAGCATGACTACAAGCAGTCAACAAGCCAATGAACGTAATATTATCAGGTTTAAATCCTTCACTGGTCATTCGTGAGAAAAGCTCAAGGGCCTTCTCTGTCAATGCATTGCTAGCCCAAATATCATTCCAAGAAGCCAAACTTTTCTGTTTCATACAATTAAAAATTGTTGTGTTGCTTCTATACTTCCAAACTTAGCATACATATCAATAAGACTCTTCCAAAGATAGATATTGTTTGAATTTTGAAAGTTCTTGTCTATATAAGCATGAATCCATTTGCCAAGATCAAGAGCACCAAGGTTAGCACAAGCTGGAAGAGTGCTTAAGAAAGTAATATCACTCGGCTCTATATTTGATCTTAGCATTCCCCAAAAAAGCCCTAATGATTCTTTATAGCAGTTCATATGTGCATAACTACCAGTCAGCACATTCCATTAAATCACATCCTTTGCTCTAAACCCTCAAACAAATTAAAAGTTGTGACCAAATCACCACAGTTAGAATACATATCAATAAGTGCATTAATAAGATGAATATTAAAACCAGGTCCATGTTCGTCAATCCATGATCTAACACACTTCCCTAATTCGAGAGAACCTGACTGAGCATAAGCCGAAAGGACCGTAACCAATGTGCTTTCATTAGGCAAAACATTGGCTCCAATCATCTCTGTGACAAAGGCCAAGGCCACTTCGTGTTGACCAGTTTGAACGTACCACGCAATCCTTGCTTTCCACGACACTACATCTCGTATGGGAATTTCATCAAAAAGCTCTCGAGTATTTTCCATACAACCAATCGAAACGGACCCCGTTATCAGCGCTGTATAAGAGACCGCATCTCTGAGAGGACTTTTATCAAACACCAATCGCGAATTATCCAGTTCACCGTTTTGAGCGTACATATTAATAAGGGAAGTATGAATAAAGGCATCAGAATCAAGCCCAAGCTTCAAGACTTGTCCATGAATCTGTCTCCTTTCCCGGGTAATTTCCATTTTCGCGCAAGATTTTAAAACGAACGAAAAAGTATAAAAGTTCGGGACAATACCAGACCTCTAATCATTGTGTTCCAAATAACTTGATTAGGTTCATCAATGGATTCAAAGAGTAAAAGGGCGAAATGGCGCAGAATTCGATGAGCTTGCTGAGAGCAAACTGGGTGTGGTGGAGGCCAGTTTTGATGATATGGGAGAGGGCTTGTTTGAGGGTTAGGAAGGTTTTGCAATTGGAGAGGAGGGAAAGAGATGGGTGGTTTTGGAGGAGTTTGTAAGGAGCGTCTGAAGAAGGGAGGAGATGGAGAGGAAAAGAGATATGGTGACTGAAGTTGTTGGCAATGCCATTTCCCGGAGACCATGGGAGAAGACTTTTTGGAATTCCGCTGGTTGTTATTATGGTTATTTGGATTAACCCGTCAAAATAATAAATAAAAAAACAGTTTATATGTTTTCAATGCCGTTGGAGGTAGTCGTGACAGGTGAGCATAATCCGGTTCAACGGTGTTGATGGATGGAAATCAATTGAATTTACCAAATAGAAAATTGATTTGGTTAATTCGTTTTTATAATGATAAAATGATTTTAGTTGATTAATTAGATCAATTTTTTATTTTTAAAATTAATAATCGAATCAATTAAATAATTGATTTTTTAATAAATTAAAAAAAATTTATTTATATTTTTAAGAATGAAAACATGACATTGATGTAAGGAAATTGTTGTCAAATTATTATTCAAATTTGATGGTAAAAAATGTGAAAAATTTTATTTTTTCCACTAAATTGATTGACTTTATACCTATTTGATTATATTTTATAAAAAATAGATCGAGTAATTTTGATTGCTTTTAAGAAGGTTGATTAAGTCAGTTTTTTTTTTTTCTTTAAAATCAAACTAATCCATTGCTCACTCTTAATTGTAAGAAATTAAACCTTGATGTATCGAGTGACAAACAAAAATATTTATATATTGAGATCCTAATTACAAATAAAAGTCTTTTAAATTTTGTTAGGTGTATAAGAATATGATAAAATATAAGAAAGTGATATTATGAATATAATTAGATCAAATAATGTCATCTTATTTCATATTTTATATATTTAAAGATTATGATAAGATAATTTATTTATTTGTCAAAATTATCTTTTTTTAAAGTTTATACACTTTAAATTATTAATATAAATTTTAAGGGTATAATTAAAAATATAAGTTTAATCCTATCAATTAAAAATAATTTTTTTCATTTGAAAAGATTGAATAATCTTATATTAAGAGGATATTAATTCTCTTTGCAATCTTTATCTTTCTCTTTAGATATAAATCAAATATAATAAAAAATAATTACTATCATATTCTATCAATAATCTTATATATGGAATATGACCTTAATTTGATTACAAATAATTAAAAATAAGAATCTTTTAGTATGCTAGATTAGGATAACTGGTTACAGATAACTTAGATAGAAATTAATTACTTGAGCTGCTAGTTACTCCTGAGTTAATGGCATTCAGGTCTAATTGCCGTTTAAGTTTTCAAGTCCAGATGGTCTCCCCCACCCTTCCCTATCACATCTTGAAATCCAGACCCTCAAATTATCATGGCATTTTATCAAATGATTAAAGCTAGTGATGTTTCAGGGTTGTTCTTTTAGCACATATGACAATATTGGATGGTTTCTTTGGCTGCCATGCATGGTTGTGGTATATCTTAGCAAGATCTTGCTGATAGATTGGTTTTGACAAATAGGAGGCTAAAGCATCGTTGTGATCGAAGCGGGAGAGCCGGATGTACTATGAAATAATAAGAAGAAATTAAAAGGAGAGAGAAAAAAAAAAACTGAGACATGAAATCTATTACTGGACAAAGAATGATATTTTTTTTGGTACATCAGAGACCATAATTTGAAAAAAAAATATTACAAGTGTTTGGATTTAAACTCTAAAAAATGTTACTTCTTAAAAATATCTATATAAATCAATTAAATTAAATTTTAAATTAAAAAAATTGATTTGAATTAGGAGACTGTGAACTATAAACGAAGTCTAAGAAATCTAATGCTGCTGAAATTTGGTATCAATGTCTAAGAAATCTTAGAAAACATTTCTCAGAAAAAATTCATGCCACATTTGGTCTGGTTGATATTCTGAAAGGTTAAATTGGTTTAAAGAAGGGTATATGTAAAAGGCCTTTGGTTCAAACGTGGTTGATGGAGATAATTTAATGATCATGGTTACCATTTACTACCTTGATCCAATCCCTTTGGAGTATTCGTTCTGTTCTTAATGTAACAGTAACACCACATGGACTGAAAATTATTAGCCAATTCGGAGAGATGCCGGTTATAAGTCATTTTCTCGCTTTAAAAGTCGGGATAATAGCCAGGGAAGGAGAACAAGATACCAAATAATAGGTTAAACTTTTGCAAGGATAATATATATCATCTTTTGGGGAGAGTCACCAACCAATGATCTGTCAAATCGATTTGAAAAGTATCAACCGACCTTAGTTATTTTTGGCACTGTTTCCAACCTGATTTGTTGGTTGAGCTCAGTAGTTTTGCATGATTTAACAGCTAAAAATATTTCAGATTCGCCTCCAATATAAATAGATTTGTTTTATTTCCGGTAATACTCCTCTCATCAGAAATAACATACCTATTGGGTGACATGAATTTCACAGCTTAATGGATATATCACAAAGGAGATAACATCGGCCTGTTCTAATACTTGGGATGCCTTTAAGCTAACTGATGCGAGATTTATTTTTATAATCACCATTTTAATGCTCTCTTCACATGTAATAATAATGAATATATCACGTGATATGAATATCACCTCTAATTATAATAGATCTATAATGTGATATGAATTTCGAATAGTAAGTTTATTTATTGTGAATTGATTTTAGATTTAATATTGTATTAAAATTTAACATAGAATTAAGCATGTCTGTCAAAGGCAATATCTGTTAACATATGATTAAGGTTTTACATCTTTAAGTGCTTCTGTCACGGGTCGAGACTTAAGCTCCGAACCCGCGCGGTTTCGGGACCCGGGTATTTACCCTTTCGACGTCTTAGATCAACTTAACCGCTACGGTTCACACTATTGTGAGGTATTGTCCGCTCTGACCCCCCCTGACCTCACGATTTTATCCTATAAAAGGTACCTCATAAGGGAGAGGTGGTGTGAACCATTTTATACCCCAGTGACCCTCCTATTA